CACCGTCGTCAGTGACTGGCTTTGTAAATTTAAAGGTACTCACATGAGCTCTGCCAGAACAGAGTGGAAGAAAAATACTTTGCAGGTTTTGCAGCATATTTCATTTAAATGTTAAGGTAATGAGAAGTGAAGTGAATATTCATTAGTTCCCAGCATAAGTGCACCTTTGAGACTTTGTCAGAGGGCTCAGCCCCTGGCGCCATGTAAAGCATATTGTAATAAGGCTTAACGTGCTGATTGAAGATAAAGCTGAGAAAAGGAAATGTAGAGGAAGGGGAACTGGGTTGTGTAATCTACTACTGAGTGATCCCTCATTGAAAAGTACAACGTGCTAGAGCATTATAAGTCTATTTTTTGAATTATGCTTCACGAAATAAACTAGTAGACTGTGATATTACCTAAGCTTCATTCTCTGATTGCTCTGGTGGTGATCCCAAGGGACTTTAGAGATGAACTGACAAGCGAGCAGGAGGGGAAGGCGGCATCTGCCTTCCTTTGTTCTGAAATTCCTGTGCTGCACGCAAATCCCTTGACATGCTCACCTCCTCACTGCCAGTTAGATTAAGATTTTGAAAGGCACACCTCAACATTGCTTTCTGGTGCAACAACAGTGCCAGTTTACCCATACATTTGCAAGAATCTCGACCAGCCAGTTTACGCTTGAATTGTATCGGGGAGACAGAGCGACAGAGAGCGAGCAAAATGATAGATGTGAATGTCAGAATGTGTGGGTGGAGGAGGGACAAGCATGAAGTAGAAGATAGGTAGGAGAGGTTTAAGGCTTCAGATTGAGACAGCTGAGGGACATGAATGGCATGAAAACATGACTGTGTGCCCAGCGATAGCATCTCTTCAGCCAGCTTCCTTTTGCTTTGGAACATTACTCAAATAGCTAATGGTATATGTAGGCACTCGACAAGCTTAAACCTGTTCCTCTGACTTTTAAATAGAACAGCCAGCCCCTGTGTTTGGTTCTTCCTTTGCGGCAAGGGCAGCTTAGTACCAGCCCAAAAATGCAAACAGGACATCTCATTGCTCAGGGGAAACTTATCCTCATTATGTGGGGGAAAAAAAAACAACATAGTTTGAGAAACATTCCTTGTTATCCCGAAGTCATTAGAGGTAGTTCCTTACTGCCGAACCAGAATAATAGGCAGCAAATGCTGCCTTTTACAGACAAGCAGGCATAAAATGCTCAACCTTTGCTTTCTAAACTACACGGACCAGCAGACGATGCATTAGACACCACAATAAAACCATGAATTGAATGTCAGGCAGGCTATATTGTTGTCCACCTTCTATTATAAATCTCTTGCAAAGATTTATAAGTGTTTGTGGAGCTCATTTTCTTATCTTATTTCCAGTTTGTCAAGATGGGTTTCAAGCAGTGTCAGTGAGGTCAGCCAAAGGGTAGAGAAGTGGGAAAGAAAACCAAAATTACACGGTGCTGATAACAGTTTACGGCAGCAAGACAGATTTCTAATGGAATTACATGATACTGAGACTTTTATTGCTCCTATAATTACAGCTTGTCAGCCACAGATAAATGAGAATGCAATCAGGTGGGAAGGACTACCACTCTGCCCACAGTGTTTCTACGTAGGTCATTAGGAACCGATCAGATATTAATTGATGAGACTGGGCGGGCCAGAGAGAGAAATATGATCCCTCTGAATTGTCAGATATCAACATCAACTTTCACTGGAGCATATTTTCCTCCTGCCTAATGGATTTAAATCACAGATTCACTCTTTATTGCATCCCTGATTCATTTGGCACCAAATAACTTATCCTACAGTCACTTTAAATAAAAATAAATACCACTACAAAATGTCCCTTTCTCGTCTCATGAGCTGTGCTTTTATGATAGGCGGGGCAGTTTTGGACCAAAAAGATAAAATTAGCATAGACAGAAACATAGAACCAAGTCAGTTTATGTTGGTTTACATACACACATAGTCATTTCATGTATATGGTAAATATATTCATTTTAAAGATACGATGACTTATAACTTATGGCTGTTTTATTATTTTTTCCAGCTGACTTAAAAGCAATGAGTGTGCGAGGTTGCCAAAATCTGATATTCAAGTTAGATGTTGAAACAGTGATGTTGAAATTTGAATTTTGAGGTTTGTGTTGTGATAGAGAACACAGCCTTCAGTGGCTTCGTGGTTGTGTTTCTCTGACTGTAACTCTGCTTTCTAAAGCAGGCTGGTAGATTAAAGCGTGATTTTCTAGAAGAACTGTGTTCTTATAAACTTTACTTCAACTTGAAAATTAAATTCTGTTCAGCAAAATCACATTTTCTAAGCTTTTGCGTTCGTGACATACATTTTAGTTATGACTTTTCCTTTGTTAGTATGCACAGATCTATAAATGTGTTATGAATGTGGCCTGGCCCACTCTACTGTTGTAAGCTTGGAGGAGATGCAGCACTGGTCCACACTGCTGAAGCACTTTCAAGCAAGAGAGGAAAACCGAGTGCCAATTTTGTAAATAAAGATGTTCTTGCTTTCTTGTGATTCACGAGAATCACAAGAAAGCAACATGGGGTTAGTATCTTGTCGAAGGATATTTGGCTTGTAGCCTGAAGCAGAGAAGGATCAAACCACCAACTTCTGGTGAGTAGGTGACCCAGCACATACAGTGGGGCAAAAAAGTATTTAGTCAGCCACCGATTGTGCAAGTTCCCCCACTTAAAATGATGACAGAGGTCAGTAATTTGCACCAGAGGTACACTTCAACTGTGAGAGACAGAATGTGAAAAAAAAATCCATGAATTCACATGGTAGGATTTGTAAAGAATTTATTCGTAAATCAGGGTGGAAAATAAGTATTTGGTCACCTCAAACAAGGAAAATCTCTGGCTCTCACAGACCTGTAACGTCTTCTGTAAGAAGCTTTTCTGTCCCCCACTCGTTACCTGTATGAATGGCACCTGTTTGAACTCATCATCTGTATAAAAGACACCTGTCCACAGCCTCAAACAGTCAGACTCCAAACTCCGCCATGGCCAAGACCAAAGAGCTTTCGAAGGACACCAGGAAAAGTATTGTAGACCTGCACCAGACTGGGAAGAGTGAATCTACAATAGGCAAGCAGCTTGGTGTGAAAAAATCAACTGTGGGAGCAATCATCAGAAAATGGAAGACATACAAGACCACTGATAATCTCCCTCGATCTGGGGCTCCACGCAAGATCTCATCCCGTGGGGTCAAAATGATCATGAGAACGGTGAGCAAAGATCCCAGAACCACACGGGGGGACCTGGTGAATGACCTGCAGAGAGCTGGGACCAAAGTAACAAAGGTCACCATCAGTAACACACTACAACGGCAGGGAATCAAATCCCGCAGTGCCAGACGTGTTCCGCTGCTGAAGCCAGTGCATGTCCAGGCCCGTCTGAAGTTTGCCAGAGAGCACATGGATGATACAGCAGAGGATTGGGAGAATGTCATGTGGTCAGATGAAACCAAAGTAGAACTTTTTGGTATAAACTCAACTCGTCGTGTTTGGAGGAAGAAGAATACTGAGTTGCATCCCAAGAACACCATACCTACTGTGAAGCATGGGGGTGGAAACATCATGCTATGGGGCTGTTTTTCTGCCAAGGGGACAGGACGACTGATCCGTGTTAAGGACAGAATGAATGGGGCCATGTATCGTGAGATTTTGAGCCAAAACCTCCTTCCATCAGTGAGAACTTTGAAGATGAAACGAGGCTGGGTCTTCCAACATGACAATGATCCAAAACACACCGCCCGGGCAACAAAGGAGTGGCTCCGTAAGAAGCATTTGAAAGTCCTGGAGTGGCCTAGCCAGTCTCCAGACCTCAACCCCATAGAAAATCTGTGGCGGGAGTTGAAAGTCCGTGTTGCTCGGCGACAGCCCCAAAACATCACTGCTCTCGAGAAGATCTGCATGGAGGAATGGGCCAAAATACCAGCTACTGTGTGTGCAAACCTGGTAAAGACCTATAGTAAACGTTTGACCTCTGTTATTGCCAACAAAGGTTATGTTACAAAGTATTGAGTTGTATTTTTGTTATTGACCAAATACTTATTTTCCACCCTGATTTACGAATAAATTCTTTACAAATCCTACCATGTGGATTCATGGATTTTTTTTCACATTCTGTCTCTCACAGTTGAAGTGTACCTCTGGTGCAAATTACTGACCTCTGTCATCATTTTAAGTGGGGGAACTTGCACAATCGGTGGCTGACTAAATACTTTTTTGCCCCACTGTAAGCTACAGCCACCCCATGTATGATGTCTGTCAGTGGTATCATATTTGAATCATCTCTGAAGAATCTTTCAAAGATGTATTGGAGCTTCACCATTGCACTGTTGTTCTTTTGTGTAATAAAAATAAAAATAATATCTGTATAACACAAGTTATAGACTGCTCCATCATTTTCCTCCTCTTTGCACATGAACTTAAATCAGCTGATTGTTGCTCAAGTGCACAGAAAGTCCCTGCACTTCAAAAACTCGTCTATCTGCCCATTGTGCAAATAACTAAACCTTACAAGTAATGACAAAATTGTAACTGTGATTGTGCTACTGAATTTAGTACATTAATGCTATGCATTATTGCTTTATGTAATGTGATTACAGTAACGCGTTACACTCGGTGTGATAATAATGAATTAACATGGGCAGTTTTACTGTTGTTCTTGCTCTTTTTTTTCCTCACTCTAAGTCTTGAGCAGACACTTTCTGGTCAAATATTAAGCTGAACAGCGGACCATGATTCCATCCGCATCCATGCACAGAAGTTTTGTCCATTACTTCATGCGCTGTGTGTGTGTGTGTGTGTGTGTGTGTGTGTGTGTGTGTGTGTGTGTGTGTGTGTGTGCCTCAAACTCTAAGTGTGTGTACGTGTCTAATGTTCAAAAAGCCAACTGCATAAACCATTTTGTAATGATTGGCCTCTCCCCACATCCCAACGCACACGCACCACCACCACCCCAACAGTGTGCCAAGTGAGACATGTCTGCGGGGGCAGCAAAATGAAGGATGCAAGCCGCTAAAGTGAAAACAAATATTTGTTCATAGACTATTTTTCCATGCTATGTTGAAATGATGGCCAGTTTTCCAAGTGAGGAACCAGAAACGTGGATACACAGGAGGTTAAGCTCACTGACTAATCTTGAGATTGTGTGTGATTTTAAACAGAGGCCCTTCCCACCAAGAGAGAGATGTGCTATACTGCCAAGAGTATGTAGTGGTTAAAATCAAATAAAGTGATCTGATTATCCTGTCTATTGTCATGACCCACTTAGCCTTAATAGAAGGAATGATGAAGTCAGTGCGCACTGTTTTCATAGGACTGCACTGGAAAAGATGAGTTCAGTTGGAGTTAACGCCACAAATAAAAAGTCAATTACATATGCTTCAGTGATTTCTCATGCGTTTTTTCGAACGCCTACTTTTCCTGTAGCATGGAAAGAGTTAATGCTGTTACCTACAGCGAGCCATGGGAAACCAAGACAGTTGGCCTTTGATGCAGCACAGTGTCTGGATTGGAGTGGATTGGATTAGTGTTGGTCTATTTTCGACTGTTGAATCAGCAGTTTAACTGTTAGTTTATAGCCATATTGTAGTCAGAGTAGTTTGTGTGTGTTGACAGTTTTATACTGTATATAAAGGTAGAGCTGACATAGCAAATCTCCAGTATTTCATGTCTTTCTTCATCTGTCTCTCTCTCTACTGTCTTTTTCTTCCTTACTATTTTCTGATGCCTCACAGATGTCTTCTAATTGAATTCCTCATTTATCTGACAGTAAAATCATGCTTCCTTCTTGAGTTAGAGCTTCCTGGGTTGCTGCCTGGTTGGTTGACTCCAGCATTCCCCTGTCCTCCTCCACTGTGATGGATCCCTGATGCCACGGGGACAGGACCAAGCTTAGGCCAAAGACTATTTGCTCCTTGAGAGGTAGGCTGACTGTCACCTAGGGATGGGTATCGTTTAGATTTTATCCGATACCAGTACCAAACCGGTACTTTTGAAACGGTGCCAGTGCTTAAACGGTGCTCAAACAAAAGAATGAATAACACAAACTTTGTCCAAAAACCTCTCATGTTTAGCTGCTTTTTTGTAAAAAGATAACAATGTTAGCCTTTTCTGCAGCTATAGGGGATTTATGGCATCACTCTTGGCTGGAAGCAGTGCTTAATCAATGAGGGAAAAAACCCCACCAACTTTGTTCAAAAACCTCTCATGTTTAGCTGTTTCCCACTTTTTCTTTGGTCATTTTAGCCTTTTTGGCCAGGGTGAAGGGAGTATCTGCCATCAAACAAGAAGACAGCCACATGTAACTACGACGGTGTTTGCTAGTTCACCTTACATGCATTAATGTAATAACGTGGTTAGCCTACTCAGCGTAAATTACACACGAACAACATTAAGCTACTCACGCAGAGAAGAACGGCTGCTGCTGCTGCCATCATCATCCGTCATCATTTCTGCTACACTGGCAGGGCTAGGGGCCAAGACTCTACTCTTCGGGTTCTTGGGGGATGTTGCTAACTCCAGGACCGATAACAGGCACCACACCCGCAGTAGATGTGCTTGGTGTGAGGTCCTGCAACAAGCTATCAAATACGGTGCATTTCTCCGCTATGCGTCGCCAGGTGTTTCATCAGATTTGAGGTGTTACCTCCTTTGACAGTATCACAGTATCAGCTTAACCTCTGGGTGGTCTTGGGTCGATTTGTGCCATTTTTCATTGTTCATTTACACGCCATTTGCACTGTGTTGAATGGAATATAGCGAAAGTCTGCAAAAAAAAGTTCGGTCACATTTACTGTTAAAATTTCAGTATGACTTCTGGAAATTAGCTTCAGTGGCTAAGCTACAGACAAACTTACACTATCGGTCCTAGTGGTCGATTTGTGCCCCATTGAAACCCATTATAAACGCTATTTTTCACGGCAAAAAAATTACGGTCAAATCGATCGTGATTGGTTATGTTTCCGTTTCCGTTTGCAGTACTGGCCTTAGAGTTGTAATTTTTTTATTTGTCCACCGGGTGGCGCCCTTGCTCCACATTTGACCCCGGGTTGGAAAACAGCGGGCTGCTTAAACAGACCTGCGGGAAACGAAGCCTCATTTCCGGCGTGCAGCAGCGGCTTCGCCCGCTGATCGGGCGGGACCATTTTCGGCCCCTAGGACCGTTTGAGGGTGCATTTTTCTTTAAAATCAACAGGAAATGACGTATTTGTTGTGACGTGGTACCGGACGTGTGTGTTGGAAAAAGGGGTCCGACGCAACATGCCCCGGTCATCGTCGGGAGTTAACCCGGGAGGATGCACTGATTTCGGCCTAGAGGAGGAGCATTTGCCGCCTGGAGACCATTTTCTGGTCCTGAAAAAAAAAAAAAAGGCGATCGAAATGAAGGTTGGTGCCAATCTTTAGTCCATCTAAAGGCCTAATTATAATAACAATCAAATATTACTTCAAATGTTGTTTTTTTTTTAATATTTCGTTTTGTTTTGGGGGGCTAAAAAAAACGGTGCGCTCATGTAATTAAACTGCGATTAAAAGGGTTAAAACCCCCGAAATATAATTAAAACTTTACATGGATAGTTCAGGGAGAAGTAGTTTTAAAAGATTGGCTAATTTAAAGTGGAATAAAATATTAATATATAAATTTTTTATAGCACTTTTTTGGGCGTGGTCGATTTGTGGCTCTAGGTCCGATAGTGTATGCATTTTTCTAGGACCCCCCCAGAGGTTAAAGCACTTGTTGCAGGCTGCTGAGTTTGCATCTTTTGCTGTGAAGTACAGCCAGACTTTTGACCGCTTCGCCTTGGGGATTTTAATCTGTAGCTCTGCTCTAAAAAAACGTACGCACCTGGGCCCACCTACTACGCTTGCAAAGGTAAAATGATTGGCTGGAATCCAAAGTGTATGACATCTCAGGGAAAAAAAGCACCAAAATAAAGCACCGAAATGTGCGCTGCTTTTCGGTCTGGTTACTACCGTTTATGTCAGAACCACCAGTACCCATCCCTACTGTCACCTTGTACAACAATGCCAGCACGTTCAAGTTTTCTTAATATCACTGCTAAAAATTAATAATTTTGACTGCTTGTGTATCAGTTGTGCAACAATATGATGTCTATCTGTAGTGCAGGTTGAGGCTGAGCTCTTATATTTACTGAGTGTCAGGAATCCGGTGACCTAATACTTTCCTAAGCTGATGACGATGATGGGGGAGTTCACTACTTAATGACACCTACATTTTTCACATTCTTCAGCAAGTTTGGGACAAATTTTATCTTTCTCTCAATGACTCACTCCCTCGACCTTTAATCGCATATCGTAATGCACAAAAACTGAGTCAATGAACTTTCCTAAATGTTGTCTGTAAGGGAGTCAAATGACATTAGAGTTGTGGTCAGAACTTTACATCCACTCATCATTGGCGCAAATGTCGTTTTGGTAGCCATCAACAAGCTTCTGGCACAATTATGACGGGAGTTTCTCAAGACAATCAGTAGAGTTTGTTTAAATCAGATAATTTCCTGGCACGGACTGAGCTTTTTAACTTTTTAGCCTGTTTTATCCATTTCAAAACCACCATTGTTCTGCTGGAACACCCAGTTGTTTTCAGAGTTTCAACCGCCCAGCTGTTGATTTGAGGTGAGGATGAAAACTCTGGACATCGTCCTTCTTGATCATTATTCCATCCACTTTGTCAAATGTACTGGTACCACTGGCAGCAAAGCAGAGCACGATGCTACCACCACCACCATGCATGCACTTGTGTAGTGTTCCTAGGTTTGAAAGCCTCCCCTTTGTCTCTTCTGATCATAAAACTTAGCTTGTCCATGTGAGCAGCTGCAAATTTCAATTGAGTTTGAAAGTGTCGGTTTTGGAGAGGCTTTCTTACTTGGTCGGAGCCTTTCAGTCCACGTGGATGTAAAACTCACTTCACTGGACAGTGACACTTTGTTCTAGCAGTTTCCACTTCATGGCAGACTTGAGTCTTGGGGGTTCCTGGTTTGTTCTCAAACATCTTAAAGAATTTCCTCTCATCTGAGTGTGACAGTTTGGTTCTTCTTCCAGACCCCAGCAAAGTGATGATACAACTTGCATGTAGTTCAGTTCTTTGAACTGACTATATATATGCAGTTCAAAGAACTGTACATACTGTTGTTTAGAAATGGATCAAAGCAACCGTTCCAACTTGTGTAAATTCTCCTTCTTAGACCTTCACTGAACTGCTTGGGCTGTCCCATTGTCTTGAGTATTGGTCAATACAATGAGTGCTGTCAAACAAATCTTTTTTATGCTGGCAAAGACAAACAGTTGTAGTCAATTATGATTACTAACAAGAAGTTAATTGGCCTTGGTCTTGTCAAGTTAAATGACATTGTAGAACTTCCAGCACCACTTGTTACCAAGTTTAAGAGTGTTTGTATGTATCTGAGCCTGTGTGTATATTGTGGTGATCATATGTCGAATAAAAAAAAAAATGATTGTAAACATTGTAAACTAGTAAACTGCACTGGAATGACTGTAAACTTCTGACCACCATTAACTAGTTTCAGAATTGTAACTATAGTACATCAGTGTAACACTAATACATGAAAACACAGTGGGTAAAACCTATGTGTTAATTCACAACAGGTGTGTACTCTTTGGCATGTCATTGACAATTTCCATAACCACGGTGAATCAAGTTTCCTCACTGAGCTTTTTTTAACACTTGATGTGATCACAGTACAAAGGAAATTTCCAGTGCTGCATGTCGGTGTGTTGAATGAATGGCTTTGCTGTGTGTGCTGTGTAAACTCGACCTCCATCTGTGGTTCCTAAAACAGGTAGAGCGCAGATGGCAGTATTGCATCTGACCGTGTTTTGACCCTGAAGATTAAAAAAATAAAACAAAGAAACACACACATAGCATCATAAATCCAGGAAATAAGAAAGCATTTCATTGTCTATGAAAGCCAAATTAATGGGCAGAGACTGATTTGTTTTGTGTTGCGCTTTTCTTGGCCATGCAGATAAGGAGGCAGATGAGTGATTAGGTTGGCGAGCTGTTCAGCAGCTGCCCTCCAACTATCAAATCTAACAGTACATCATTATACGAGGATTGCTTTTACAAGAGTGACTCAAAGCCTTACATCCATTTTAGATTAGATGATTAGATTATGCTTCTTAGATGGTTACAGACTCACTGATGGGATATTAATGCTAAGTTTAACTTCAGATCTGAATGACCTGTAATAGCATGTCTTTGATCAGGCGACACAGTACCTGCTTTAAAAAAAAAACAGCTAAGTTTAAGTATATGGTCTGACCACGAGCCACAGAATGGCATGTCACTTCAGATAGGCGCCACTTGTAAGTCCAGACATATTACATCTGATGATCAGATCTCTTGTAGTTTCCACTCCAGATCAGATAAACCTGCATTTCACCTTTTACCTGGTGCCCTGAACCTGACGTCCGTCTGCAATGTGTTTGTTTAAAAGAGGAAAAAAACATTAGAACTAGTGATGTTGTGAACTCATTTAGACATCACAGCATACCACGTTGACTGCTTATCAGTACATAAATTATGCAACACGAAATACATGATGAAACTTTGATGTTAATGATTAAGAAGGTCTAGTTTGAGCACGCAAGGAGCAGCCTCACCCTAGCTGGCCCAGATGGATGTCTTGGAGAACAGGTCTGTTTTTAGACTTGTGTAATAAGTTTAACTCCGATTGTGGCTGCAAAGTACAGACACTTTTTTTTCTAGTGCATTTAGTCCATAATGGCTGAACAAACAGTGTTGCATTTACAAGACTAGCATTATCAGCTATCCAGGAGATAACGCGGGGTGTTTTTACTGGAGGAGACAATGGGAAAGGAGGGCTCGGATAGAGAACCGAGGACTGAAGGGTGTGCCTATATGAGACCATTTTGAACTTGGA